CTACAATTGAAGAAGAATTCAAAAAACTAATCGCGGTACAAACTTATTTTATTTTTCATTTTTTTAAAAAAAAAAAATCATTTGCCCCAACCAGATGCTGGAAATCTGTAAACCATTGCTAAGTTTTCACAGATGCAGATAGTAGTGCTAGGTTACGCCTTTGTTCATAATTCTGTTTTACCATAGAAGGATGATACTTTAAATACCTTGTGTACCCTCCAATTGCTTTTACTTTTCAATTCATAACAACCATCTTTACTTGTTGAAATGGTTAAAGATTATTTACCATTTTATTTAGACGGCTTTTGTCTCGGTGATAAAGTTTAGCCCTTCTTTTTCTTGTCTTTGTAATTTAAATCAGGTGGGTTTAACTGTGAAGCATAGCTATACGAGAAGCCTGGCCCATTTTGCTGCTGATCTTGGTCCAGTTGTTTGGAAGATTGCTGCAAGGAAAATCAGCAGTGTTTTACCAGGAGGACAAGAATTTGGTCCTGGATGGGTAGGAGAAGATGAGGTGTCACAGAGCCAACAGTTTGCAATTTATGACCAGGATAGATCTTTAGACGCTTTTGTGCCAGACAATCGTTCAAGTAGATTTCTTCCTCCATCTGGCTCGTTTTCTGGTGGATATAAATCATGCTTACAAAGTGGAGACGTGAAATCAATTAGAGGATTGAATTTTCAAAATGAGCTTAATTCAGTTAACAGTGTTGATTCTGGCATTGAATATGTGGTTCCTTCATGGATTAAGCAGGATTCTGTTGTTCGCTCTGACGATGTAATAGGTTCAAATGACCGGCTAGGTCCTAATTTTTCACCTCAAATGAGGATGGTAAACCTTTCTGACTTAACCGGGCTGCCAAGTTCGGGTGATGGTTCTCGAATGATTGACAAGGGTATAACTGGCAACTTTGCTGCCTGCTTGATGCCTTCAGAGATGAGTTCACCCGCAAAGACCCAAATCTCAAACGACTTTGGTCAATCAGATTCCAGTAATATGTTGGCGGAGGAATCTGGCTCTGATTTTCAAAAAGGGCTCGCTGTTAAACCATTGATAATTCCTGTGAAACACAATTCTTTGTCAATTGCTGATGATTTAAATAGGAAGATTGGAGCAACAAATGCATCTAGCTCCAGTGTGGATACTGGTTCTCATCTGCAGCCCAATTTGGCACTCCAGCTTTGATGGTGGATTATTTATTCTCACTTGTTCCATCAAAGTTTTGGAGCTTAATGAAACAGAATGAAAGATTGGACCATTTTAAACATTTGACTTAGAATGGGGAGTGGCTTTGAGGCGGTGGTTGTAATTGGTGGTTGTACCGCAAATTCAGTTTCCTATTTGTATAGTTACGGCATTGAACACTAGAGCATCATTTTCACGCTATTGAAATGAATTTATGGTCTCCCAAGATTATCACGGAAGTTTCTTAGTTTTTGGTAGATGTAGTGTGAATTGTGGATCACTGAGCAATGCGAGTTCGCTTTGTGTAGCAGATCCTTGGGAGATGGGAATTTCTTTTGTAAAAAATATATAAGTTCACGTTCCTCATTATTATTATTCTATCTGGGGCATGATAGGAGAGAAAAATATGTAGTTGGAGAATATTAGATCAGAAAGCATTCAACATGAAATGGCATAATTAATGTTGTGGGTTCGATCTGTATGTTCACGCCAAGTGAAAGGGAAAAAAATGACGACGTGAGAACTATTTTCATGAGTTTTATGATAGTCAAATTTTGATTGACTTGTTGTAAACTGCCGAGGTGTTGCAAGGTTTTTTTTTGGTTACAAAGGAGGGCAGAGCCCGAAACACTAAAAGTTAGCCAACAAGGGGACTGAATCCCATACACTCAGTAGCAACTAACGAACGCAAACTAGGAGGACACGAATCTAAGAGCGAGGAGCTGGATAAGCCTTCTTTAGCTAGGAAATCTGCAACTCTGTTCACTTCCCTATTGATGAATCTAATTTCCAGCTCATCAGTCTTCCCAGGTGTTGCAAGTTTGAATGCTCTGATGGAGCCACCGCGACTAGCAACGGGCCTTACAGTGGACAGCTTCACCAATGTTGCATCACTGGGGAACGTTTTCTAAAAGCCAGACTATGAATCCTAAAGAACATCGCTTTCAATATGTGATAGCTCGGGACTTGATTTGTACAAGCATTTTTAATCTTCGTATACATCAAATGCCTCCGCGTACAACAACTCGCGTTTGTGATTGTCATGTTTAAATGGCATGCTCCACAAATCACCTAGAGAATGAAGGGGCGCAAACGTAGATCCACAGGTTATTACCAATTATAAATTTTATTAGTTAAAACTGCCTCTTAAACTGAAGAGAATTTTAAAAAAAAAAAAAAGAAAAAGGGCCATTATAGTCGTCTATTGGGAAAAAGCGGGTGAAAGTTTTTGTGTTGTCCAAAAATTTCTGGGAGTGATATTGTGTCCATTGACATCTCCACTTCTCCACATCGAAATTGGGATTGGCATGCTGCACGTCTAAGGAAATTTTGTAACAGGGAAAAATGACGCCTGACAACTTGAAAACACACACGTATTAACACTTTGACTATAAATTTTAAAAATGATTCCTTGTTTGATAAATAAGATATAATTTATGGACAGAGAACATAGTGACTTACTACTTCCGGTCCTAATTATAAGAGCCAGTTGACTAATTTGAGAAAATTAAGAAAAAAAGTTAAGTTAGTTATTTGTAATAAATAGGTGTTGTCTTTCCTAAAATATCCTTACTAATCAAGTATGTTGGCCAAAACTATAATTATCAGAAGGACTATTTTGGAAAAAATTGAGTAAATATGAGAGACAAAATAGATTGGGGTCTTATATTTAGGACCAACACAAAAGTCAAACGGATCTTATATTAAGGACTAGAGGTAGTGTAAAATAAAGGACATGCAAGTTTACAAGATTTTTTTCCTGGTGCTTTCATAATTTTACCCTTGCATCATTTGCAATTTTCAAGTTTCAACTAAACTTCCCAGATTATGAAAATCATCACACGAGAACCGAAAAATGTTATTCTTCTAATTCTATTTATAAGTCACTTCCAACATATTTCATACAGACAAAAGAAAAATCTTAAATTTTATTAACTTTAATTTAAAATTTAATAACTTTTTAACTTTATTCCTATTTAATATACATTATACTTCATCTAAACAAAGTCAATGCAACAATAAATTAAGGGTAAAACTATACATTCATACAAAAAATTCTTTCAGTGTCCTGTAAATAGGACTAAAAAATGTCATCTTTACCTATAAATAGAACCAAAAGAGTATTTCAAGCTGTTCAGAGCTGGCATTGTTTGGAATCGTGCTTCCTATAGAGAGAGTGAGAAGCAAGAGTGAATTGTTTGATCTGGGATGTAAATGGAGACATAGGGTGTGTTTGGTTGGAAGGAAGGGTAGGGGAGAGAAAATGAGCCCCTCCCCTCATTTGGTTAGAAATTTTGAAGGGAAGGAAAACTAAAATCTCTCCTCCCCTCCCTTTCATATCCCCATTCTGGCTTCCTTCCAAATTGGGGTTTTTTGGAAGGGAGCCAAAATGTTAGACCATTTTGCTCTCATATTTTTGTGATATTTCATTGATGCCTATAAAATATATTATTATAATATTTATTTTAGACAAAAATATATTATCATAAGAAAAAATAAATATAAATATTATTATAATTAAAAATATATTATACTCCTCTGGTCTTTAATATAGGACCCAATTGCTGAGTTGGTTTTGGTCCTAAATATAAGACTCATTTATCATATTTATCAATTTTTTTTAAATTACCCCTATGGATACTCTATCAACCATAATCAAGTAGAAGATAGAGAGGGGTATTAAGAAAGATGATTATGGTATTTTAGGAAAAACGTGTCACAATTTTTATAATTAACTAACTTACCTAACTTTCTTAATCTAATCAAATTAGTTAAATGGGTCATATATTAAAGACCGGAGGAGTAATAAAAATTAATTTAAAATAAAAAAATTATTGCAATGAAAAATTATATTATTACAAAGTGAATTAATTTTCACAAATATATTATGTTATTAATTAAAATATATTTTAAAGTTGGGAAAAAAATAGAGAGGGAAAATTTTCTTTTTTTCCTGAGCATATAAAATTTATTAATTTGATTATTTAAATTATATTATTATATTTATTAAAATAAAAAATTACTGTACTAATTTTGAAATACACATATTAATATGATAAGACTGAATATTTATTGAATTATATAATTTGAAATAAGATGTAAATGAAGTTATATAATATATAAATAAAAATATAAACTAATATATAAAGGTAAAATGATAAATTGATTGTTATTATCTCTCCCCTCCCTCTCTTGAGTCAGATAAGGGATCATTCAATATCCTTTTCTTTTTTTTTTTAATCAAATCAAATAAGATAACATTAAAACTTTTTTATCCTTCCCTCATACCAAATAGACCTGTAAAAAAGAGAGAGAGGGTAGTGTCACGCTTATCACCCTTAAAAATAAAAATAAAAAATAAAAGTATGCACATTAGGAAAAGCCAGGCCAGCCCAAGCTAGGCATTTAGTGGGAATGTAAAGGGGCCCAAGCAGCCGGGGGCAAAATGATAAAATGACAAAACCATCCTTTCTGATGCCGGGACCGTAACGTTTAAATACACAAAAGGGTTGGAAGATGGACAGCGACCCCGATAATCATGCTCTCACATTGATTCCGTTCATTTTATTTTTATGATATCTTCTGGCTTTTTTTAATGGTGAGATAATAAAATTATTAAGCATCAATTAAATTTCCCACTGGTGTGTATTAGTCAGAACTAAGAACTCTCCTTGAGAAGCCGCAATCATCATCATCATTTATTATTATAGTCGAGTCTGTTCCGCTCAGCATGCCGCTAAATGGGTTTTGCGTCCAAATTTGGCGTTAGCCATTTACAAAATGCAGATTCGTCTTCACGCGTGAATTCCATTCCCCCGATTTTTATTACACCACAAATTAGGAAGCCGCCAGATTGGGTTGTTTGTGAATTGGGAAAAGATTTTTTTTTTGTAGGGAATTTTTGGACTAATTTTGGGAGGAGTGAGCCGTTGTTGATCTGGAGGTGCAAGACGGGAGAGCCAAAATCCTCTCTGAGTCTGTCTGAGAAGAGTTTCATCTCCGTCTTCATCTTCATCTTCTTTCAAATATTATTATTTGAAAGCAAGAGCCGTATGATTGGGAGATGAGCTGCTTCTCTTGCATTAGTCATCGCCGTTCAGATGCCAGCAGAATCCAAATTGATAATGCTCCTCGATCTACCTCTTCTTCCGGTCTCATTCATTTCCCCTCTCCTTTATTCTTCCATTTCCCAGACTTTTTTTTTTTTTTTTTTGCCTATTGTTTTAATAGGCATCCGGGTTTTGCAGGGACTGGGCGCTCCAAATCTCATGCCCATAGTGGCGGTAAGGGTTTTCTTTTATTTATAACCCACCCGTTGGCTTGTGGATCTTGTTGATTATGTAATGTCTGCAGACGATAGAAGCAAGGGAGGATCCTATGATGGGAAGGGGAAGAATGGCGTCGCCGGCAGCCCAAAAAGCAGTGCTGCCCGTAGTTTCACTTTCCGTGAACTTGCAGCGGCAACCAGGGGCTTCAAGCCAGTGAATTTGATTGGGGAAGGAGGTTTTGGAAGGGTTTACAAAGGTCGTCTTGATACAGGCCAGGCATGCCACGCTTCCATCTCTTTTTCCTTCATCACCTCCTCACAGGCCTCCTAGCAGTTTTCCTTTTCAAAACCCTTTTTTTTTTTTTTAACTTCTGATTTTCTAATGTGTCTGACTCCGATCTTTTGAATATTCCATGTTGTTGCTGGGGCTTGCAGATTATTTTTATGGCTTATTTTCTATTTGCAGCTTGTTGCCGTCAAACAGTTAAATCACGATGGTCATCAAGGTTTTCAGGAATTCATAGTGGAGGTTCTCATGTTAAGCCTGCTACACCATTCTAATCTTGTCACCTTGTTTGGTTACTGCACCGACGGAGATCAAAGGCTTTTGGTTTATGAATATATGCCTATGGGTAGCCTGGAAGATCATCTTTTTGGTAATCTTATTACTTTCTTTTCTTCTTTCTTTTGTTTCTGCACCTCTTGTCATTTGGAGGTTCTAATTCCAATCTTCTGTATGGCTACGTGATTGAATGTTTGACATGTCCTATGAAGGATTTTGTTAAAACTTAAGCACGTAGGGGTTGCTTTCCTTTTGATATTTTGCCATACCTGGTTGGTACTTTCCTTTTTGCTGTTCATTAATTCAGCCGTTATGTTTAATATGTGTTGTTGTTAGTAATTTACGCAACTATGCTCCTTGATTACAAAAACCCAATATTTTCTGATGAAAATATTAGATCATTAGTTTATCCTCGCGAGGTCATTTTCATTTGAATTTGAGGATGTATAACATGTCCTTATGCCTTTGTTTGTGGGGAATGTGTTTCTTTTACGTGTAACTCTTGCCAATTTGACGTTCCGCGTGAAATTTCTTGTTATTTTAATACTAATAATAGGACTACAAATGTGAATGACAACCATATTTTGGGCCTATTCAAAGACAATGATGCCAGTACATCTAGACCAAGATAGAAAGAAACAACTGCATCGTTCATTTTCTAACTTGTGTCGTGTCAAATGGTTGCTGATTTGTTCACTGAAGGGAATGGTTTGAACTTTGATGTTTCTGCACCTCCGCAACAGAGTATCAAAATTTTTTCTATTCGGGTTTTTGCATCACTGAACTGATGATTCTAAATTTTTAGAAACTGAATTTCTCCACTTTGTTTTGAAGCAACTTTAAGATGTATGGTAACGTGAAAACATTCATCCTTTTTGCTTACCCTTTCTCCCTCTTTCTGCTGGTTTTGTTAGATATATCTTCTATAATGTTTATGGAAAACAGGCACATCAGTTTGAATAGTCTGCATACACTATTAGGAAATTATCAGATACTGCCCAGAATTAGTGTGCATTTCTGTTTTTTCAGATATAAAACCAAACCAAGAGCTGCTAAGTTGGAATGATCGGATGAAGATTGCTGTTGGAGCTGCACGAGGGCTTGAGTACCTTCATTGTAAAGCAAATCCTCCTGTTATCTATCGGGACTTGAAATCTGCAAACATATTATTAGACAATGACTTCAACCCAAAACTCTCAGATTTTGGGCTTGCTAAACTTGGTCCTGTTGGAGACAATACTCATGTTTCAACCAGAGTGATGGGAACATATGGCTACTGTGCCCCAGAATATGCCATGAGTGGCAAACTGACTCTTAAATCTGATATCTATAGCTTTGGTGTGGTTTTGATGGAGTTGATTACTGGACGAAGGGCAATAGATGTCAGTAAGAAGCCGGGGGAGCAAAACTTAGTTGCATGGGTAAATGTTTGGGTCTTTTAAAAGATAGGTTCTCCCCTTCTTGGAGGAGACGTGGAAGTTTTAAATTAATTCTTTCTTCTGAAATCTTTTCTCTGGTATAGATAACGTGTTTTTGAATTGTAATCAATGTTAGTAGGTAGAAAATGGAGTGTTTTTCCTTTAAAATGCCTGCTATCTCCACGATTCCTTTTTTCCACAGGGATTCTGTGGCATGGCAATACATGTTTTAAGCTTTCTGTATGGTTGTATCTATATTCCCCTTCCTTACGCGTGGAAAATTTCAATTTCTGAAACTTTTTTTTCCCAACTCTGGTTGCTTGCAGTCTCGACAGTTTCTCAGGGACCGGAGCAAGTTTGTACAGTTGGTTGATCCTCGTCTTGACGGACAATTCCCCTTGCGCTGTTTGCATCATGCGATTGCTATCACTGCAATGTGTCTGCAAGAGCAACCGAATTTCCGCCCACTTATTGGTGATATTGTTGTTGCACTGGAATACTTGCACTCGCAGAGTAAAGCCTCAGAAGTCCTTAAAGGTGGGGAGCAATGTCTGCCACGTCGATCGCCATCGCAACTGGACCAATATTGTTTGGAGGAATCAAATTCAAGACTGAGGTCAACTTCCGCCTAAGATTTTGAGTAGATATTTCCATGTCAGTCCAAAACTGTAAGCAGCCGTCTTCCATACTTTGAATTGTATTGATATTACTTCAAGTAGTGAAAAATTATTCTTGCAGATTGCTTAACCGTAATGGGCATGGAAGCTGTTCTTGTATAGGCTTAAAATTCATGAGGCGCTATCACTTACATCGCGCCATTCCAACCAA